GTAAGACTAGAGAGAAGGCAGCTAGTCATCACCACCCACCGCCAACCCTCGGGCTACTCTTTTACCAACGGATAGTGGGATTGACCGTCACATTATAACGCCCCCACGGCTGAAAGGGTGAGCATGTTTGGTGGGACGAGAATGCGAACTCGCGACCCACAGATTGCGAGTCGAGCGTCCTAACCACCTAGCCATGCCGGGCCTCGTCCGGTAGTAAAGACCATGTTGCAATGGAATTAGGTTCAGAGAGAATCCAAAATATAACTCCTAAAATTTTCATTTAGACGTGCCAACTTATTCTTTATTATCTAAGCTGTAAGTGACTTGTTTTGTACACTTCATTTTTGATGAGTATCACTTAGTTGTTCTTATGTACATTTTATAAATAAGTTACACTTAAATGTTACATTTTATTTCGTGTATCAGAAATTGTTCAATTTTTAAAGGAATAATTCAGAACTTATCACCGATTGAACTTATTCATTCATTGTAGCAACGTATGTTTATAAAAACAATCACCACATATCGTCTGCCATTCATATACAAATAGATCTTAACTCGTAATAAAACTTAAACTCTCTGCACAGTCTCACCATAAAGTGTTTCACGCTTTTAGTGAATGAACAATTCTTCGTAAAATAAAACGGATGTAGAAATACCATTGATGAATTGTTAAAAATAGATAAAGAGTGTCATTTTCAGAGGAAGCTATCTTAGTAAATAAAACAATTCTTCGTAAAATAAAACGAATGTAAAAATGCCACTGATTAGTTGTTAAAAAAGGAAATAAAGTGCCCCTTTCAGAGGAAATTATCTACGGATGATAACTTTCTTCAACAAAGAGGGCGTTGCCACAGTGTTATGAATTGAGACTTCACTTAAAACCTTTTTTCTTTATTTTTGCCTTTTAAAAATTCGCCATTATCATTTTTAAATCGATTTCATTCTATAAATATGTAGTAATATTATTATATCATAATGATTAATGATAAATACGTTACGTAAAGAATAAGAGAAAAGAGATTCCTTGAGCTGGATATCAACCCGAAACCCCTAGATAACAAGCGCACCACTGAGCTATTCCAAAGTACGAGTCGTTTCCCCTTAATGTTCATTATAAAACCTTTCATCATGAGTATGGTCACCATGCTACATCGTGATAGGTGAAAAGATCAAATCACAGAAGTCTTAGGCGTATAATTATTTATTTAAATCAGTTAGAAAACAGTAAAATGGTAATAATATTGTCTCGCAATAATGAATATTAAATATTTTACGGGAAAAAAAAGATAAACTTTTCCAGAATGTCTCATGTGAACCTCTTTGATCAACTTTCGAATGTGATCTAATACGATATTCATAAGTATACGCACCAATGAGGTCTGAATTTGAAAAAAATCTGAGTCAATGCATGCAATATTCTTTCGAAATTTGTTTCAAACCATGTATTTTACTGGTTGATGTACTATTGATATTTATTTATTTTATTTTATTGCTATGCTTTTTGTTTTGTGGCTGATAACAGAAAGTTTCTCCTCCCGAAGTCTCTTTTTGTTTATCGGTTTTTCACGTAAAATATTTAATATTAGTAATAATATTATATAATAGTAATAATATTATATAATACTAATAATATTATTATTACACTGGTTTCTAACAGATTCGTAAGTCTGTTATAGACTTCTACGATTTGATCTATGTACCTATCATAACGTTGTGTGATGATCATATTCATAACGAGAGACTATATATGTGAAAATTAACGGCGACAACTTAGATAGTTCAACAGTATAGCACTAATCTTGCTAGCCAGTGGTCCCGCGTTTAAGCTCCGGTCCCGGAGTCTCTTTTCGCTTATAGGTTTTTCACGTGAAATAGTTCATAGTAATTATTACGTTATAAATAAGTAACAACTATTCCCTATTTTTCTTCAGCTTGATAATATAGTAGTGTAATTTGTAAGCTATAAGCTTTCTTGGCGTATTTCATTAATGTTGGAACACCCAAGAGACCGTATAACAACCTGTACGCAATATAGCAAGTTATAATTACGTCAAGAAAGCTAAAAAAATAAAAGATGTAATATGAACTATATTTTCACTTTGATTTATTACACAAAATAACTTCGTTACAACACAGAAACACACACATACACACTGCTTTTAAGAACATAAAACTTAATTGATAATATTATCATGAGCATCAGTAGTGTTTTCAACACTACATTAAATTTCTTCAACTGTGTGAATCTGGTTTTCTTCGTGCATGCATAGATTACAACTACATTCTCTGATTTGTTTGCTTGTAATTAAGCGCAAAAGTATACAATGGGCTATCTATGCTCTGCCCACACGGGTATCGAAATACCGACATTCTCTGACAATCAGAAAAGACACAAAAACGATATTATTTGAATGTGAATAAAGATCATCTCAGTTTCCAACGACATGATTTTAGTATATCACTTTCAATCGACATTTAGATAATTATCTGTGTTTTATTCAATTGGGACTGCTTGTTTACATTCTAGGCTATAATTCTTTCAACAATATAGCAGTTGTCATGGTTACGATAGTTGCATGTAACTGATCAAAAGATTGCTTTCATTTTAAATACCGATGAAAATTCATAGATGTTTAGTTACTAAAATGTATGTATCATATAAAAAAAACAATGTCGTTTATAACATACTTTGATAAAAGCAATGTCATGTTGAAAATAAAATGTCTCTTACCATAAAGCTGCATTTTAAGTCTACTAAAAAATAAATATTTCAGAACATCTTATGCATTTATATCACTTTCAATATTAATTACATCTTTGATCCCCTGTGAACAGATATGTCATCAGTTCGTTTATATTACTGAATACTACAGTACTTTTCTGGATTCTGATTTCAGATGCAATATATCTTGTAGAAACTGTTGTTCCAAGTAACACCGCGTTTACTGTAAACGCAGAATCGATCGCGACTATCTAAAGCTTTGAAGAATTATAAATCTGTAGTAGAAGAAGAATGGTAAATCATCTCGAATTTCAAACATGTTATTTTTCTCTAAGTTATACATAATCCACCTCTTTCAACGTTCATGCATCACCAGTCTCTGTCACATTTTATGCTATCACACATACTAGTTCATTCACTTTCTTTCCTCCCTACTTTGCTATTTTTACTTTAACAATTTTGAATATCATAATAATGGAGCCTGAAATGCGACTACATTCATATCAGCAACCAAGCAAATGGCAGCATCTCAACTGAAAGTTATTTTTCTTCTCAGTCTTGTTTTTCAGAACACAAGCCTCTACCTTGCATATTTATTGTAGTATATATATATATATATTATACATTTCAATATTGAACGTGTAAAGGTGGAAAATGGGTTAATAATTTTTTTCTTTATTATGGAATTAAGTAGTTCAATATATTATGTTGTATTGGCTTAGAATTATTCAAAGATCACACGAAATTTTAAAAAGAAAGACATTTTGATGTTTGATTTTTATTGTCGTTTAAGCGCAATGCTGCACAAATGGCGACGTGCAATTTGCCCATCGCAGGGATTGAATACCGGATTTTAGATTATATGTCCTTAAGCTTGCCAGTGAGTCATTGGGAAGCGACAGCTTGATGATTTAAGGAAATCATTACATAATATAAATTACCAAATACAGAGCTCAAAAATATTCAATTCCAATATTCTAATGTTTTTGTTTAACGTTTTAACCAACTAAGTTAAGTTGTTTTTTTTTCAGAAACACTTTTCATCAAAAACAATTTCAGTTAACTTGAATAATCATTATTTTATCAAATCGAGGTTACCTACATAGATCAGAACTAAAATTAACCCAGTAATTAATATAGTTAATTTAATATATACCGTACTTTCTTATTTTGATAAAATAAATTGGTTCATCAGCTGGGTAACCTCACTGTTAGCGATATTTTTATCTGATAATTTAACGTGCTAAATCCTTAGACCTCTAGAAAGTAACAATAGCAATGAGCTTAAGATAATTTTGATGCATAATACACTTTCTTAATTTTGTTCATTAGTCTTATTGTTATTCAGGGAGTTTTGTTTGGGGTGAAAGTGTGCACCCTAAAGTGAAATGCTCTCTGTCAATAACGAACTTTACATATTTTGTAGACTTCTACCAGATACTTCCCACAAAAGATACTTACAAGACCTCTAGATTTGACAATCCGCTTAATGCAGCTGTTGGCACTTTTTTAAACTGATTGTTGTGTAGCCATCTTGAAAAGAGAAAAGGTAGCATAAATACTTTGGAGAACAGCAAAAAGCAAGAACAAAACTACAAAAAAGGAAAGATTTTGAACAAAGTACGGGGTATATACTGCCAAAATACAATTATTCGTAATCTTTACTTTCACACTATATTCAGGGTTTAAGATAAATAACTACAACACAAAAACTCACATCTTTACATCCTAGCCACCCAACGGTAGAATTTAGCAATATTTATTTTAAAAAAAGTTTATCTTAATCTTGTTTTTAATTAATGCAAAATTATCTTAGACATATTATTTAAATCTCATAGATCATTAGGAAATTCTGTTTTTTTTTCAATAATCGACTAAGCTTAGCCTTGAAATAAACCTCACTTAATAAAAAAAATAAACATGTTGTTTTTAACACAATTGGATACTTCTGTGTATTGCATCTGTCTTAAAAATTTTTGGATGATGTTTCGAACTTTTTTAACTCTGGTAATTACGATTAATATCCTGAAAAACTTTGGTATATCTACATAAGATTAACAAATACCCTTCTTTTTACAATACGTAACGATTGCTTAACGTTAGATATGTATTTCAAATAGTTTTGTTTCAAGTATACTCAGTAATAGACCACTTATACTCACAATACTTTTAACTTTGACAAACCAGCGAAAACCTCGAATGGCAAAGAATGGAGGTTGTTACGTCCTAAGTTTCTGTAAAAGAAGAAAATAATTTGTTTGCTTGGAAGTTCATTGGAATATTCTTATTTTGAAAATAATAATGTTTGAAGTTCCCTGTAATATTCGACTAGAAACCGTAGGTATACACCGTGAAGATCAAAGAAGCATAATTAATTTCCTATACTGAGATGACACTTCAAGTTGAGGTTAACGATAAATTTTAGCTTATACAAGGTTATTAATCATGTCCTGCCTTTACCACTATGTTACAGTTATTTCTTCCTCGCTAGTTCCCGACACTATATACTTCAATGAATACTAAAATAAATTTTTGATTGATTAGAAAGCATATACTCTTTTTTTTTTAACGTTGTGGAGACAACACACCAGAATCGGGGTGTTTACATCGTCTGTACATTATTTTTGTATTATATATATGTTCAAAGACATAACATATAGATGAAATTTTACTTGTTTATTGTTAAACCCAAAGCTACACAATGTTATCTGTGCTCTGCCATCCGCGGATATCGAAACCTAATCTTTAACGATATAAATCCTCAAACTTACCGATGAGCAACCGGGTGACTATAGATAAATAAAATGAAGATTATGTTGAGATATTATAATGTCGTAAAGTGAATTACATCAAAAACAAACAACATTTAACTGTCCTGTTAATCATATTTAAAGAAATGCTTATTTTTTAGATTCATCTTAGTTATTTCATATTCTAAGCTCTAATTGCAAAACTATAAGAAATCATGTGTCTGTGCATACTTGAATAAAATTCTGTATTTATATAGAGAGTTGAGTACTCTATATTAAAAGGATTTTGAACCCTCATCACGTCGTTGCAGTCCATGTCGTCACGCCCACTCATGCTTTATCAAACGACTGCTCATTTTGACAATAACCCTACAACATCCATTTCTAAAGACTCCTCAGTAAGGCGGTCATGTCCAAAGTATACCAATCTCCCTGTAGGCTTACAAAACCCATCTAGTTTAAGCGGACGACCGTTTTTCAGTGAAGTTTTAATTATCAACAAACAACCCAGTGAAGCTATCCTTCTTTCTCTTCTTCTCCACTTCTCTTCACAGCCTTTCCCTCAACTTGTGAGCTCATCAATTTGAAAATTACCCGTTTAACAACTATAAGTCAACACCACCGCTCATGCAAGCGTTTAATACTTAAAAAGTTTCTGACCGCCCCGGGTTATATTTCATTCCCCTTAGGGGAAAGAAATATACTACTAACCTAAATACCTACCCTGCCTATCGAATCGAATGAAGTTTTAAGAGTTCGATCGTATGGAAATCCATAGATGTTGCATACAGCAACTTAAACAGTATGTCTTTGTATGGCATAAATACCAGTCCCATTCTCAAACTGCTTGAGGTATGCGTTGATTGAATGGAGATATAACAGGAAGTCTTATATTGATGAACCCAGACCATTTTAACCTTGTTTGTATACATTTGTCCTTACAAAGCCAATATTTATGTGTAGTACAAATGACCCAGAATACTGGCCTTTGTATCCACTCTCCTCATCCCTTATTTGTTCTTGGCATAATATTCAGCAATGATCATAAATCCCTTCGAAAACATTTTGTGATATGCCATGTACCATATTCAGAAATTTGTTTCACCCATTGACAAGTAAGAAATGTTACTTACATACTTTAATTTTTTCATCGACTAGATATCATTCATACATTTTTTACAGTTTGTCTTCTCTTTCTGAATATGTCAGCTTGGCCATAATTGACTTGTGTTGCTTTTCCAGCGATAATAGCTTAGATTGTGTCGCGTACTGTTGTCTGGAGCAAGTGAACGACTTTTTCCACGGACCTATGTTTTTCTGGGTTCCTGATCTTTGCTTACTATAGTTAGAGTACGGTTCGTTGTATGTCTCTTTCTGGATGATTCTGATTCCCCGAATTAATCCAAATTCTTTTGTTGTACGATGCCATTAATTACAAGGGATATCCCCATCTTTGAAATTTTAGATCCGTAATCTGATCATATCTTTACGATCTGAGTATACGAATATGTTGCGTCAAAAAGAGCTGTTGCACACCCTTTTTAAAAGCGATCAATTTTTAATGACATCGCACGACCTATATAACGTCAAATTGTAATTATAATAAATGCCGTGGCATCGCAACTTTATATAGGCTTCGAATGAAAGTTTTAATGTAATGTATTAGGTCGTCAATAAATTAATGTCGCGTTTTGGAATACTTTCATTAATCACCCCCCAAAAAACGTATAATATAATGACGTTTAATAGTTAAACGAACCGCCTAAACGTAACGTTAGTGTAGCCTATATAATGTGTAAAGTTTAGTATATTCTAATCCATTATAGTGATGGCACACGACGAGACACACACATTCGGCATGTAATGCTGTTTGAATACAAGAAGGATAATAACGCCTCTGTAGCCACAAAGAATATCAAAGAAGTTTATGAAAATGTTTTGAACTTTCGTAAGTGTCAACGATGGTTCAGCAAATTTCGTTCAGGTAACTTT